ATTAATCAATAACTTGCATCCTCAATTTATACAGGAATGAAATTAATTTATATCTTCTCATATTTATGTAATTAATGATTTGGCCGATTAATCGAAAAAATCAGACAGATTAATCGATTATTGAAATAATCTTTAGTTGCAGCCCTAGACTTCTGGTGATAATTCTCACAGCTCTTTTCTGTAAAATATGAATAGGGTTTGTTATTGTTTTACATGATTTTTCCCCAAACATCAATACAGTAGATTAAGTGTGGAACAATTATTGTTTTATATAATTTAAACAAATCTTTATCATTAAATAAATCCTTTACTTTGTATAATACTGAAATGGATTTTGTTATTTTTGTTCTTAAATGATTTATATGAGGTCTCCATGTCTGTTTTTCATGAAAAGCTGTGAAATTATTTTGATTTTATTCAAATCAAAAGAATCTGCACAGGGGAGGAACCACAGACCCCCCGCCGATCAATCACTTGGTCGGCCCCCTACTTCTTTAAAATAGCCCCCTATTTGTGACAGTTCAGATGATCCGACCCGTGGAGGTGTTACCTCTGAGGAGGACGTCCAACATGGACACACTGATGTCCTTGGAGCTCCTCTCCTTGTTCTCCACAGAGTGACAGAGCTTCCTGGCTGCCTGCACGATGCTGTGTTTTCCATCTTCAGGAGACAACACCTTCACCGTGGACCTGCACGACACAACTGACACACACACAGTCACTGTTACAGCTTCCTGTCCCTGTGTGTGTTAAATAAACAAACATTAGAGTTGCGTGATGTATCAGCGTGTGAAACAGTCACCTTCATGTCCTGTGATGTAAATTAAATCAACGTGTCATCTCGAAACCAAACCACAGAAGTCACTGCACTAAACGGTTGCATGTTGCAGCTTTTATTTTGACGGGTTGTTTTGTGTTAAAAAAAAGCTACAACTTTAATGTTATTGTGAAACTTCTGGAACAATAGTGAGGTTTTTCAGAGAAGTGTTGTTGAATTCTCCAGCTGTGGAGGAAGACGAAGAGGATCTTAATGAAAACAAGGAAGATGAGAAACTGTTAGCATGAATGCTAATGTTAAAGGAAACACGTTGGGTTTGTTTATTGGTTTTAAAAAAAGCAATTTATGTGCACATGACAGAAGGAAACATGTCCTCTGGTCCTCAGCACAAGAAAACATAAGAATAACTCAAATATAGACAAACATACTGTAACACGAACAAAAAGAGGCTGAAGCTTTTTTTAGGCAGACCAATAGACAGATTATTGCAGTAATCAAGATGACAAAAAATAAAAGCATGAATGGGTGATTTACTATCTGCAAATGAGATAAATGATCTTAATTTGGGAATATTTCTGATGTGATAGATGTCAGTTTTAATACTATTATTAAAATGTTTAGTGAAGCTCAGATCCGAATCTAGAAGCACCCCAAGGTTTCTGGCCTCATGGGAGCAAGTAAAACCTTAAGAATTAAGAACTTTAATTACAGGGTCTCTATGAGCCTTAGGGCCCAAAACCAACACCTCAGTTTTATTATTGTTTAACTATAAAAAATTAACGGACATCCAGACCTTAATATCAGTGAGACAAGAATTTAGGATGTTTAGAGCCGATAGATCTGAAGGATCAATAGATAAATATATTTGGGTATCATCTGCATAAAAGTAGAAAGAGACATTATATTTGCGAATGATTTGACCAAGAGTTAACATGTAAATAGAAAATAGCAGTGGGCCAAGAATTGAACCTTGTGGAACGCCACACTTAAGTTTTACCAGTTCAAAAGAACTGTTACCAATTGATACACAGAAGAACCTATCATTTAAATAAGATTTAAACCAGTTCAGAGCAAATATATAAATTAACCAACAATGTGACAGTTAGTTTGGACATCAACTCTTGGCTAAAAACAATATTTAGCTTTTTTATTTGACTCATCCTTTGTCAGCACAAGCTTTGATGAAAAACTCAAAAGAATATTTAATAAAATGGTAAAAGAACAGAACTTTAGGCTCATTGTGGTCAGTCCTACGTGTCTCTGATGGACTGGTTAACAGTCCAGAGTGGACTCTAGAGTTGCACAATATCAGATAAACTTTTTATGGGTGATATTATTGTTTAATGATGACAACAAATGTAATAAAACCACATTTTCCTCTCTGTGTGTTCTGTCATCATCATCATCATCATCATCATCATCATCATCATCATCATCATCATCATCATCTAAACTAGGTGTGAACATGGTCCTCATACTGTCCTATGATTTAATAATCAGAGCCAGTTATCATCCAGCCTGTGAAAGGCCAATAAGAACCAGTCCAATGGAGAAGTGACTTTTTTAAACTTCTTTTTCATGTCAACATGATGTTTTCTTTACTCAAGATAGAATTAATCAGTTTTTATAAAACACCAACTCCAAGAAGCCTGGATCAAATTAATGACACCAGAGAACGCTGTAACTTCTTACCGAACTGCTGGTGTTCGTCTCGGCTGTTGTTCAACAGCTCCACATCACATCTGGATTCATCCACACCCAGCAGACTGTGGTACTGCCTCAGGATTTCCTCCTGCAGACGGGCCGAGTTCTTCTGAAAAACACCTGAGGAAAACATACAAAGTCAGCTCACTTGTACACAGAAAAATAAAACACACAACTGTGGCTCAGAGCTGCTGCTCCTCCTCATCGAAAGGAGTCAGCTGAGGTGGTTCATCTTATTAGGAGAGAACTGAAAGGACTCAGTGGTGGGATTATCTTGAATGGGAGCTCCTCCGGGTTCCTCAGGACAATCTGGAAAGTGTCGCTGGGGAGAGGAAGGTCCGGATTTCATTAAAAGGATTCCAAAATCAAAGTTACCCATGTTTCATGCTGAGATTGAGAATACTAACTGGAATGAGGGGATTTCTCTGTCAAATCCAAAT